TATATATATATATATATATATACATCGCGCTAAATTGCCCAAGGCATTCGGGTATATGAAGTCTTAATCATCGAATACAGCGAGTTGGAATAGGTGATGCGGGTCGTTCCTCCGAGAGGAGGCAGGTGCCCATTACGAGAGGAATGAAACGGCCCGAATAAAGGCATTCTTCGCGAGACACGGTGGTAAAAGGCGAATAAGGAATCCTGGGGACATTAGGTCGAAAAAGGGACTGTGTTTCTAAGTAACGACCCCCAGTCGGCAGTCTCTTCTCGTTAGGTCGTTTCCCCCGGATCGTTGCGTCGCTTTCAGCGATAAATCCGCGAGCGTCCTATGGAACACGCGCGGGGTGGTATGCGCTTAAATGGGCACACGTGTACGTAATAATCCGTGCACACGTGCGAGGAAGAGGCGGTGGCGGTGGCGGCTCTTCGAAACGTTCGTCCTCGTCGTGGCAAGGAGAGGACAGGGCCGGTGGTGGTCGTCACGATGTATCGTTGTAGAAGTTCGCCAACTTCCCCCGTATTGATCGTGTGTCCCCTGTCCCGGGTCGCGTGCGCGTTCCTGGGAACCTCGAGACCACGGAATACCCACGGGAACTGATTCCGTCTGAGCGCGTGTGTCCCCGGCCCGGCTGGCTCTCTCTCTCTCTTTCTCTCTCTCTCTCTTCGGCTACTCGAGCTTGCTTCGTATTCATATGGAGAGATGGGGAGAAAGCACCGAAGGGAATGACAGAGAGAGAGAGAGGGAGATACAGAGGGAGGGTAGCGGACAAACTACTCGACGCGAACCACCAAGCTGGATACACGCGTGTGCACGCGCTAATAAACGAAAGTGGAGGCTGACTCACGGCAGCGCACCCTCCTACGCGGGTTGAAAGAGCTGAGCTGATCGATGCTGGGGATAAGGAGCGCGACTCGTACTCCGCAAACGTCACCTTGCGGAGCGTGTAACGACGCTTAAGTGACCGATATGACTTCTGCTTGCCCACGCGTATCTCAATCACGAGATACGTGCCACGGAGGCGGTTGAGTTTCATAGATCGGTAGCTCGAGGGGTAGATTACGAATACTAAAACATCTATAGGGTTGGTCGAGTAGAGATTTTTAATATCACCAGATGACTGGGAATAGAGGGTGTTTTCTGAATATATAATAGCAGAGCTACAAGCGTAAAAGTATTTATTTCAATTTTCTCGATTATAGTATGTGATATAAATGGGTTCCTGCAGCTACACGCTTGTTTTCTTTTTTTTTTTCCTTTTTCCTTTTTCCTTTAGTCTTCTTGCTTCACACATTTTATTCTTTACGATATAAAAGTGGTAAACGGCTGGTACACGGATTCGACACATCGTACTT